TATTTATATATTATATTATTAAAGACTTTAGTATATTTATAAATATAATCTCTAATAAAGAATCTGTTTTTATAAGCAAGTTCTAGTTAAATTTATACTTTTATTTAAAGATTTAATAATAACTAAATATAGTATTCTATTTATAAACTAATAGATAAATAAAGAATCTAAATCGAATTCTAGAATAATACTTGAGGTATTATATTAGCTATTAATAAAATAACTAGATAATAAAGCTTACTTTTATAAAATTCATATATAATAACTTTATATATTTAATAATAGAAATTTCTTTATTCTATATATTATATAAATTCTATTCTAGTATTAAATTATATATTAAAGATAATATTCTAGAAAAAAAGGTACTAGTAATATAGGAAAAAATATAGAAAATTCAAATAGAATAGGAAATACTAGAGAAGTAATAATAAGAAGTAGTAAATATATAGAAAAAGTATTATAATAAGAAGTATATTAATAAGAAGTTTAATATATATAATAGAGTTATACTTTATATAAAGAATATTTAATAGCTATAACCTAGTATAAAGCTAGTAAATAGATATCTCGGCCTCTTTAAAATTATAGAAATTATAGAAATATATAAATAAATATATTACTTGAAATTACTACTATTATATTAGATCTATAATATTTTCTATATTTCTTTTTTAGAACTATAATACTCGTAAGCTAGTATTATAATAGAACTAGAACTAGTTAAGATTAAGAATAAAGAGAAATTCGAGATAGAATCTATTATAGCCTATAAGAAAAATAAAAAATAAAGAAAGTATCTTATTTATTAGAAGAATTACTTATTAGTAAATAATATATAGAAGCTACTAAGTAATCTAGAGAATATAGCTTAAGAATTACAAGAATACTTGGAAAAAAGTAATATTATAATACTATTAGCTAAATAGAAATATAAAAAATAAATACTTTTATTAGAAAACTATTAAAAACTATATATTTATTCTTAGAAAAACTATATAAAAATTATTAAGAACTCTAAAAACTCTAATTTCTATATCCTATAAATACCCTATTCTTATAACTACTTTATACTATTCTTATTATTAGAATTATTATAAGAAATAAGTAATAAAATAATCTATAAAGCTATTAGCTATTAGTAAGAAATAAGAAAGAAATAAGCTTACTTAATACTAAAGAATATTAACTATACTATTAAGAATACTTTATATTTATACTAAGCTAATAAGAATTACTTAATTCATTTCTTGAATTATTAAAGGAATTTATTAGCCTTAAATAATAGCTTTAATATAAGAAATATATATAATTTAGTATAGAAAAAGAATAGTAATAGCCTTTTCTCTTTTAGATAAAGGTTAGAGAAAATGCCTATATATATTAATAGCTTAAAAAAGGCAGTTTAATTATATTATATATATTTAAGGAACTTTAGATAATATTAGAATAGGAAATAAAAGAAGGAATTTATAGCTTATAGAATTATATTTCTTATTCTTAAAGTAGTAGTAATTATATATTAAGTAATTATTACTTTTAATATAAGTAAGGTCGGGAAACTTAGTAATATTCTTGAAATATTAAAGATAATAAAAGCAAATTAAGAATATAAGAATATTAGCCAAATAAATAGTAATAGGTTAATAAATACTAAGAGAAGTATTTATCTTAATAGATAAAATAGTAAAAGAGAAAATTAGAAAGGAATTTGAATAAAGCTTAAATAAAGTTTAAAGAAGCTTAAAGAAGCTTAAAAAAGGCTTAAAGAAAGAAGACAAGAAATAAGGAGAAGCTAGATATAATATTATAATTAAGGAAAAGAAAGATTAATTAGTAAAAAAAGAAAGGCCTTTTTATAATATTCTTTTCCTAAATAGTAATTACGAATTCGGAACTAGCTCTATACTAGAAATATCTAAAAAATTCCAAAAAAGAGATTTATAAACAAATCAGAAAATCGAATTAATTTTTTCAAGCTCTTAGGCCTATAGAATAATGATTTATTTGCAAATAGAGACTAAGTTAGAATTTGTAAACTAATTAGAAGACCAGAAGAGCTTTATATCTAATAATATATACTATACCCGTATTACTTTTATAAAAAGAAATAATTAGAAGTAATTTACAAGTTAACTAAGCAAAATTAGTAAACTATATTTTTAATTCTATTATCTAGTATAATAATAGAGTAATTATAGGAAGTTTTTAGAGAGAACTAGTAGCCAGAAAAGTTTTAAGGAATTATTCGTAAAGCTATTTATAGTTTTCTCAGATCTCTTAGGAATAAGAGCCTAGAGAAGGAATTAATATAATAGATATATATAATAGTATATAAATAGATATTAGATATTATAGATCTAGTTTCCTATTTTAGGTAAAGCTTATAATCGGAATTATATAAATTATATGAGATTATATTTCCTAGTTAAGTAAAGTATTTTATAGGCTTGGCTAAATATTAGAAAATATATAGAAAGACGCTTCTAGCTTTAGAAAGGGATATTAATTAGTCTTTTATTAAAATTAATTCTTGGAATTAGTTATATTTATAAGTATTATTCTATAGCTTACTTATCTTAATTACTTATATATTACTTTACTATTATATATCTTATATATACTTAAATATTCTTTCTTGTATTATTTAATATATTACTAGAAAATCGAGCTTAATATAAATAATATTACTATATTAGATCTTATTATAAATACTAATTTAATACTAGTACTTAAGAGATTAAAAGAGGCTAATATTAAGTAATTAAAGGAGATATATATTATATAGTAATAGTTAAAAAAGAATAATTTTATAGGACTAGTAGTAATATAAGAATTTATCTAAAGTATAAAAGCTATAACTATTAAATATTAATATCCTCTACTTGTTCTATATATATCTATATATCTAATTATAGAAATACTTAATATATTTCAGGCTAAGAATATTATTTATATATCTAGTCAAGCTTATAGTAAATACCGTTTTAGTATTAAGATTATTATTAAAGTATTTCTCTAATAAAATCTCTTCTTTTAAAATCAGGAATAATATAATTACTTATTATTAGTGGATATAATTTCGATTATAGTAAATAATTCTTAATTATCTGAATCTATTAAATAGATAGCTTTTATATTAAGGTATATAATAATAATCTTTCCGTTTAAAATACTAATACGAAAGCCAGTTTTATTTATATTCTATATGTCTTTAAAGCAAATTCTATACTTTTCTAATACCCTATAATATTCTTAAAAATGCTCTTCCAGATCCTTCTTTTAATATACTGCCTTTTGCTCTTATACTAGTATCTTTATACGAAGGGTTTTAAACCATAATTTGTTCTATTTAAACTATTATTATACCTAGAGGCAGTTTACTTAGTGAGTAGACATACTCTCCCCAAGGATCTTATTAGCCGCTACCTGAACCGTCTTGAGATTAGTTCTATGGCCTAAATAGACCAGGAAATCAATAAACTACTTTAGGCCCTCCTTCTAATTAGGAGTAAGTATTTTATTAAGGCCCCCTTTGGTATTCTATAGTAATCGGCCAGCGAGACGCGCTTTCCAGAGGCGTAATGGGACCTCAAATTAATGTATAATCGCAGATTTTTTGATATATGGGTTCCTGGCATAGAAATCGGAGGCCTGGGCTATTCTTTTCTCCTCTTCTGGGTCGAATTTGGCTATAGTATTAATATTTAATTAATTAAAATCGATATAATAGTAAAAAAAATAACCGTATTACTGATTTTTGACTGTATTACTAATATATACTAAACCCGCAGGAACGCACGGGCTTTAGTACAAGTCTTAATATACGATTATATTAATATAAAGAAATATTAAAATATATAATAAAACTAAAGAATTTGAAATAAAATAAGAATAAGAAAAGTAAAAGAAAAAAGCTATATATAAAAGAAAATAGAAAATTGAGATTATATAACTAGTTATATAGTTATTTTCTAATTTCCTATTATATTAAATAAGAAAAATTAATAATTTTATTTCAAATATAAAAGCTAATAAATAATTGCAATTTTATTTAAGAACTAAATATTTTAATTAATTAAATTCAAATTACTAAAGTATTATTTTATAAAATTAATATTATTTATTAAATATTATATTAAATTTTTTAAATAATATTATAAAAAGAATTTAATAAAATATTTTTAAAGTTATAAAAATTATTTTTAAGCTTTTAAAAGTATATATTAATTAATTATATTAGTTTTGAATTAAACTTAATGCGAAATTTAAATACTTAATTTAAGTATTTCTTTATTAAAATATAATAATTTTTTTTATAATTTTTTTTGTTATTATTAATTAATATTCTTATCTTAAATATAAAAGTAATCTTATATCTTTCTTTTAAACTATTAGTAAATACTTAAAATGCTTTAAGTATTTACTTACTAATTCCTTTATTTTATATATAATTGCTTTTATTAAAAAAAATTATAATTATTATAATACGGGTTATAAGTCTTATATTTTAGTAAATTCTTTAGCTTTAATATAATACCTAAAGGTGTGCCGTATAACTATAATATATAGTGAAAGGACGGGTGCACGAGCAGTGTTAATTCTATGAACGTGTATCAACCGCTCGCGAGTAACAAGGATGCAAACTGTATGAATCCGATGCAAGGTAACTATAAGAATTGTAAGTCTTGCTGTGCATTGCATATCTCTTCTGGATTTCTTGCTGACTGCCATTCGCTAAAGGCAACAATGGTGGTATTGGCGATAGTATCTCTGTTGGTTGTCTCACATATGAGGTCAAAGGGAGCTTGACTGCTCCTGGCCAGAGCTAGAGGTAGTGCTGAAGGGTATGACGTATACCATGTTTCTCGCAGGAAGATGCTCAGTGCTAAGTTCGCGTGGTGATTTGGATTTCCCGTTTCTTGTTCTTTTCTTACTTACACTGAGATTGTAATTGTATGCAATCACTCTATTCGAAGTAGACCTCGTACTGTCATAATCTGGATTTCTTCAGCACGCATTGTGGCTATATAGCTGTATTCGATTGAGAAGATGCAAACTATTGCCCATTCAATATCTGATAATAAAGGCCGTTTCTGCTACTCGACATACTGTGTCTGTACCAAGGGCCCGAACTCGCCCTCCATCTTCTCCTTCCAGGCATTCAAGCACGCAGCACCATTATACTGCTTGAGGCTAGCGAAGAACTTTCCACCTATGCTCTGTAGAATCTCGCCCTTCTCATTCATCGTCTTCGTCAGTAACACTTTGCCGGCGTCGGCGGGCAGTAAATCATTCTTCTCCTGCATCCCATACATAACAGTATCAAACTCAGCGACCCAAACTCCGCCATCCAGTCCACTCGGGTGAGCCACACTGACCCATCGCCTCTCTAAGGTCGTCGGCGCCTGCTCCTCCCCTGCTTCGAGTGCGAGAATAGAAGGATCATGGTCTTCCGCGACGCCCGCGACGAATATATATCGATCGTAGCTATCGAACCACTTTGCTCCCAGCAGCAACAGTCGCTGGCATAGCTTGTCCTCGGCGTGTTGATCTGGGTCGCGGCGCATGGGCGGATGGATGGAGTCAAGACCTAGGAAATCAAAGTCAAGTGCGGCGACGTGCTCGAGGACAATCAGTCCACCCCGCGATGGCCAGCCCCAGACTGAAACGCTGTTTTGGAGGAGAACAGTGCGTTTTGTTGGAGGGGGTCGGCTGGGCTTTGCAGGTCGGCCGAGACTGCCGCGCGGTTGGTCGGGTCTCTGAAGGTGTTGGGGCGTACGCATTATGGGGATGTCGATAAGCACTGGACTGTGAGGCGGTAGTAGGGCTCGCCGAGTGTTTTGAGGAGGTTTGAAAAGATCGTGTGCGGTTCGTATTGAAGGATCCGTCTGGCAACGCAATAGTATTGAATTCTCGTTGGAGCGCCTTCCGAGACAGCTTCTGGCTCTTATAGCCTCGTTTTTAGTATGAAATTTTATAGAGTAATTATTATATAATTATTAATATTTCTTATTTACTTAACCTTTATTTAATTATATATTTCATTAAAATAAATTAATAAATCTTAAGAAAAGAATATAATTATAATATATATAAGGTTATATATAATAAATCTTAAATACTAATTAAAGAAATTAATAACTTCCATATATTATTATTAGGGTTATTTATTTATAAAAAGCTTCTTTAAATCTTATAAAAGAAATAAAAATTAATTTTATACTAATTTTAATATTATAATTATATTACTTATTAATAAATGCCTTATATAATAATTTAATTAATAAATTAAAGATATAAAAAACCAAAAAAGAAATTAAAAGAAATATTAAATAATTATAATATAATTAGATATTAATAAATAATAAAATAATAGAATGAATTAGTGGGTTATAAAACTATAATATTAAATTTAATATAAAACTAATTTATATTTCTTTTATAAAATCTAGAAAAGCCTCCTTAAAATAAGAGGCCCTAATAATATATATAGTAATTTATAAGCCTAAAGCCTATAATATAAATAGTAATATAATTATAATATTAAAGAACTATTAATTACTCTAATTAATACCCGTAATATCCGAGATTTGTTATATGTCTTTTAATTATATATATTTCTATATATATTACAAATAGATAGTTATTTCTTCTCTTTATTATTAGTTATACTTATTATTTAATTTTCGAATATTAGTATATATAATAAGATTAATATTATATTAAAATATAATATATAGTAATACTATATTACTAACCTTTAAATAATAGTATATTTCCTTATTTAATAACTTCTAAGAATAATATATTGAATTAATATAAATTTGGCCTCGAATATTACCAAAATTGCTATATCTTAAGTCAAGACGTTATATAAGTAATAAGAACTACGGGGCGCCGTCAAAGCTTCGAAACACGCTTCGCCGCCTTCTTATCGATCTGAAACCTTATGTTCGATTTATCTGTCCGGAGACAGTTCGCTGTTCGTCTTTATTCTTCTTGTGACGGCGGGATCAATGCCATGGTCGAAGGCTCAAAGTTCAAAGAATCTCATGTATTGAAAAATACTAAGCTGCAGAACAAAGTAGGGAGGATGCCTCGACCTTTAGTATTGTTCCGCCCAAGCATTCCGGCTTAGCTTCGTTTTGTACCTGTTTCCGATATCCTGTCCTTGGCAGATCATGCCGTTTCGCCAGCCGTCACACTTCTGCCCCATTGATCACACAAAGAAATCGAGAATGTACCCTACAATACAACTCTGCACCACCATCCATTCTGCTCCCATTCCCACATATCTCACGCCATGAAACATCATCAAGTACCCCGTGACTTCATCGGCCATCCTTCTGCTTCCATTTGTCCTTCCCTCCCATATCCCTGCAATCCCCCACCACCACCGACAGCCACCTGTCGAGGCGGAGACATTGCTAAAACTTCTTCTCGAACTACTGATTTCGGATTCATATCCTTCGGAGGAATGGGTGTTTCACGAGGAGGCCAACGATCGAGTTCCTCGTCATCTTCTTTATTCTTTTTTCGAAGGGTGAAGAATATTATGCCCAAGGCTTGGATGCACATATTCTTCAAGAGCGGTTTATTTAGAGGTGTATCTTGATCTTGTGCTATCGGTGGGATCGAGGTTGATGATTGTGTCGTCAGAGGAGACAGATAATTTTGAAAATGGTAAGATCCTGAACCATGTATGTAACTGCTGTTCAGATCAGGACTATCTTCGAGTTCCTTATAATAAAGAAACATCGAGTTTCCATTTTAAATATATCTATATATTTCTATTCCGTGTAACGCAACATGGTAAGCGCTGTGGCACACGACAAGCACCGTGCGGGGTATGGCATGTCACTCTCGAGTTGCGTCTCGTTGGATATTTGTCCTGCCTTTTTTCTCCTTTAAATCCTTTTCCATTCCTTTGCACAGCCCCATAGAAGTCTCATGGGATGAGCCGGCAACGAATACAATCAAATACAGTGACATACTTCCTAAGCGCTCTTAGCCCCAAAACCAATAGGAAAATGTAAAACGACCCCGTGTCGATTAGGGGTGTCGATTGGGGCAGGGGTATTAATAAGCTTGTAATTGGCTACCTAAACTCTTCAAAAATCTTAAGTTATATTTTTTAATATAAGTATAAGCTAGTATATTATTATTCTAGTATTATAATTACGTGCTTCCTAACTTATAATAAAAATATTCTTTAAGATAGAATTTTAATTTAGGGGAGTTTATATACTAATTAATTAAGTTCTAGTTTTTGAGCACTATAAGGCCCTATAAAGTACAGATTTATAGGGCTCTTATATCTGGTTTTAGGGACTTATTCGTTAAATTTCTAGGCTTTCTTAAGCCTGCTTTTAGGCTATAAAATATAGAATTTTTAACTTCTTTAATTTAAAGATTTATTACTAATCCAAACTTTTTAAAAAGCTTATATTTAAATAGCGCTTAATTAGTGCAATAAAGAAATAAAACAATTATTAAATTATATTAATTCCTTATAAAGTTGAACTAAATTAAAGAAAAAGCCAGAGTTTTGGCGATTCTGTCCGAGCGCCTCTACTTTAGGTTAGTCTGGCCCCAATCGACACCCGGGGGGGGAAGGGTCATTTTACATTTTCCCAAACCAATCGGCAAATTCTCTGGCTCTACAGGAAACCAACTCTGGGAAGGAAACTTTCGGCTTTTAAGAAGCTTCACATGCAAAAGCCCACACCAACTAGCCACTACAAAAAACGCTACTAAAACAATTAATGCCATACATAAAAGCGAGAACGAGGTCCTAATCTTCCTATTTTCACAATTAGGGAGGCATCAAAAGAGTGCCATAAGGACCCCCCCCCCCCCCCGAGGTGATGGAACAGTGGCGTGACGACATCACCGTTCAAACGGTATAAGTTGGAATTCCTTTTTCGTCCCAGAAAGAACCCGCAGATCTATTCCGTTCTCTTGGAGGGAATGGATTATTCTAAACATCGAGAGGTTTGTCACGGGATTTGGAAAGGTAAATCACGTGGTGACGCATACCCTTTGGGGAAACCTCGGCAATTCTTTGCAATGCACGTCGCGACCGTCGTACAAAATCTGTTGCCGCCATTTTCCCATTTTACTTTCCCATCTGCAAAGGCATAAAGCAAGATCTATATGCACAAATGAAAGCACAAGCAAATCGACTTCTAATCTCCTCTCATAATCGCTCTTGTACACTGAGCAATTCAAATCGGTACTGGGTCCAGGCTCGAAGGGTAAAGGAGAAGTTACCTATCCCTCAATTTCCACAACTACATCAACCTGGTCCTGTTCTTCCGCCTTTTCGAGCTGCTCAACCTTAGCCAACGTATCGACGTAAGAAACAAGCTTCGATCGTCTAAGGTAGATGTTATACAGGTCCACACGTCTCTTAGCATCTCCAATATTGTGACCAGTAATCAAGATCATGGTGAAGAATGACTCGATGATGCTGGGAGGGACATTGCAAAGCAACTGTCCAGTGACGCTCCAACCCATGGCGCTAGCCCCAATAATCAAGCCAATGATGGTGATTGCCCCTAAGACTACCATCAGCTCATGAGAGCAGATATCACCCACTCGAACAGAGATCCGGTAGGTGAGAGAATTGTCTGCAACCCGCTCTTCTTTAAGCTTTTCAACACCAATCACGGCAAGCATATCCATGTCCTCATATTCCACCTGGGTGAACTGTTCATTATCGAAGTCTCCGTATACCGTGCAAACATTGCGAAGAACGAAGCCATCATTTAATCCGATCAATCCGGCATAAGTGCCAATTAGGAGCCACCAGTTAGCATCAAAGTGAAGTGCCGGACCGATTGCTACCCAAACTATAATCACAAAGATCAGGATTGCGGTGCCAACAAGTGTACCAACAAGATCTGCGTAATAGTCGATTCCACGCTGGATCCTGCCTCGCTTAGGAACGGGGATGAGAACAGGTGCGTTCTCCATTGTATCGCCCGTGGCAGTGCGTAGTCTAAGCTCGAGAGCAGAATCGACCTCCCAGATCAATTCCAAGCATTTTGTCATGTACTTAGTGTGACGTTCGCGAATGTTTGCCAGGAATGCCAGGATGAAGACCATTAATGCCGACGTAGCCGAATTGATATACAGTTGCCAAGTGTTAGACCAGTTGCAGTATTTGCCAAATCCAATCCAGATGAAGATGCAGACCCAGAATCCGAATACTGTAGCGGTATGGCCTATGAAGGCGGACAGTGCGGTGGAGAGTCGACCCAACCAATTCTCTGCTGGGAGTTCGGAGGCGAAAGTTGTCTGCTGTAACTCTTGAAATTGTGTCGGCTCGACTTTCTCGTACTTTCCACTTCCAATTAGTTGCTTAAGCATCCTCTTGTTGCTAGTGCTGCGGGATCTTAGGCAGGCGGCGACAGCGACCAGAGAGTCGTGTGAGTTCAGTTGCTGGCGCATAAGAAAGGCATCAAAGACCATATTGACAATGGCTTGAGCATCGGAGATGATGACCTGCCAAGTATTGGACCGGCCAAATGGGATTCCAAGGAATGCCCATACAAGGAGGGCGACAATAATTGTGAAGTAGACGAACTCGGAACCAGAGACTTCCACAACCTTATCGAGCCAGCGATCCAGAAGCCTCGGCTTCGCCAAAACCTTATATGTATTGACATTCTCGACCGAGTCCTCAACATTCTTCTCTTTGTCACCTGACACTGAGCTAGGCACCACTTGCGTGGGTGCAGCGCCCTCGATTTCTTGTCTTGCGCCTGGAGCGCGAAGGATCTTGAATGCTCGTTGCATTTTGGCCAACTCCGGGTTGTGTTGGAAAGGAACGGTATTGGGGAAAGATCTCAAGGGAATGCTGCGCTGCTTCCTGGGATGCTGAAATCAAGGGTCTTGGGATTGAAAAGCAAACACTTCTGGAACATAGAATTAGCCATGCGTTAATTGGAAGATTTAGCTTTGACATGGGATTGCCGACGAGATATGGCAATCACCGACGTTGGACCATTGGGTTGGACTAACCTTTATTCTATGGTGGTCGAGTTAGTTGTGGCAGGACGCCAACAGGCTTGTGGGAGCCTGTTGGTCGGTGAGAAGAGCTGATTTCCGCCAGCGTTTCGTAGGAGACTATTTTCCTGTTGGTAGGCTTGTGGGGTTATGAAGATCACACCGTTGTTATAGATCGAGGCTCAAATTTTCTTGCGGTTGTGTTGTGTTTGGTAGAAAAGAGGCGAGGGCAGAATCGATAAAAGCAACAGTGTGTCTATGCTGGCCGAGGTCAGCCTCTTTGGTCTGAATGTGCAGGATCGAGGCTAAACTTACAGATTAGGTAATCGTGTCCTCTACGCAAACCAGGAAGGAAATCGCTCCCAGTGTCTGAGGGACATGCGCTTCTTTATTTTGATGGGTTCTCGTTTGGTTATGTAGCTCAAAATATGCGACTGGGCGGGAAAAAACCCCATTTTTTCCCCCGACTCAAAAATCCCGCAAGCGCATAAGTGACATACCAAGTAGACCCGCTTGGGTAACTTGTGTCCCGATTTCTGATAGCCTGGGAGCCCGGCACTGGTGACTTGCCTGCACTACCCTTACTTGTGACTCATAATTTGAGGAAGGTTCGAGGCCGAAGCAGCCTTCATCCCCCGACCGGCTGACTGAGGAGAAACAAGATTCAAGGTGTCCCTATCCTCTTGTATCTCTACTCCGAATCAATTAGAGGCTGATCAGACCTTTAATCTCACCTTAAGTCCTTCACTAGGGTAGGGATTTCTTGACCGCTGTATTACCCCTCTCTCATTTTTGACCCTCCCTGCATTCCTGGCGCTCACATCACCTGCATTTCTCACTTAATAGTCCATCCCTACACCTGAAAAGGCTCTGCCCGCTTTCCGCTTTCCGCTTTATGAACCGCCCCTGTCCTATGCTTCTTGCCCCATGAGACTACTTTAACCCTATGATTGACAAATGCTTCTCCGCTCTATACAACATCTCCCCTTGTGTTTTCTCCCCACCCCGACCATCCAGCAGACGTGGCATATAAGCAAGTGTCCACATCAAGGGATATGCTAACCATCGAACGAGACTTTCGAACGAATCGCCGGAACTTCTCGATCAACGACTTTAACCTGGACATCATCTCCTGTTATCAATAACACGAGACGGCGACAAGTAATCAAGTTCACTCCTGACTAATTTGTGAATTTTGGATGAGGTGGAACGCGGAAGGGACCCCAAAGCCGCTTGAGAGGGGTCAATGTGAATTTCGACAGCAAACTGCTGGACTGGCGTTTTTGCACAAGGGACATAGTTTTTTTTGCAGACTCCACAATCTCAGACCACTCACTAACATTGAAAAATTCCTTCTACCGGCGGTAGATATGACTCTTTTATAGAAATACGAGCATTAGTAAAAGGTACTAACTGCCCCCGAACTGCTTATAAGCAGGGCGATCGCGCTATGCCTAAAAAAGTGATCTCTCTGCAACAACTTCCCTAATAATCTTCTTTCTTCCGCTGTCGCTCCACCATGACCTCTGTGATGCAGTCCAAAAAACGTACCGTCCCACCGCATCAGAAGGTCGCCATCGCAGGTTTCCCATCAATCGCCTCCACAGCCTGATCCAAAAACCAAAGGACCGAAATTGAAATCAATACTCACAACCTCATTCTGCAAGGCGACTAATCGACTGCTGCATCGCAAAGCAACAAAGTTTACCCTGTTTTCCTCGCTCCCCGACGAGCTTCAAGTCCTCATCATCTCATTCTCGCTCAAATTTAGGCAATTGATTATAGTTCAAAGGCACCCAAGTGCTGAAGGTTGGTGGGGGGACCTCACCATTTCTTGTGAGTGAAACGGAAGTTCCGACAGGAGACATTGCGCTTGAAGCTGAATGCATTCGCTATTGTTGGGTGACCGCCAAGAGAGCAGCAAATACTGAACGCCATAGCCCTCAACGCCCCTTTGATGCTTCCCATGACCCCTTTGGCCACGGACTCTTCCGGCGACGGCAGCGGCCACGCAGAACAAGAGAACTCGATTCAATGCATTGTCGTGCCAGCCCGGCTCGGTTCGATTTCACATGCGATATTCTGGCCGTTCCACATTACATGTTTTACAATACAGTGAAAGGTTCTTGGCATGTTCCAGATCTCAAAAAGATGGAAGAACTAGTCATTATCTGGAATGTCTGCAATGATGCTTATGAGTGGGACGACATCATCCCCCATCTCTACTTGCTGCAAAACCTCAAAACAGTATTTCTGATCAACGAGGCGCTGCTTATTCACGGCGCTTGCAGGGTGCAGAGTGGGAAGAAGTGTCATTACACAACTCGAGAACCATTTTGGCAAGGCGAAGATATCGCGAGGGAGAGGTTGCACAGGAAAGGGCAGAGACATGCGGGGAGGCAACTTGGGGTAATGTTCCCGAATATTTGCAGCTTGAGACTGACGCCGTTTGACGGGAAGACTGAGCCGTGGATGGGGGGCATATACGCGATGGTGAAGAATACTAAGGACTAGCATGGTGTAGGGAAATCCAAGGGGTTTTCTTTTATAAGTAATTGGCACGTTAACTTCCCTGCTTACTTGAAGCTATACCTCAATCGCGGCCAGAGACTGAGTACCGCACCAAACTTGCATAAAACGCGGGGATCAAGACCCAATACAACATTTACACGCAGGTGCGTTCACATTGAGCACGAACGAAGGCTCTGTTCCAATTTCTCGCAACGGTTGGGAGACTACCAGCCCAAGAGGCAAAGAAATCTGACAATATAGAGATGCGAACACAAATTCAAGATTCCCCAACTCGAATAGCATTACGCAGTGTGTAATCTTCTGAACGACCGGACTCCTGGTGGTATGTTTCGCTCTCAAATCTCCATCTCCTTTCAAGAATGGATCTTCGGACAGTGCCTCAACCCACAATTCCGCCTCCTCTGCATCGCTCCCGTCTTCCCTTTGCAGACCCTATACCCATCGACCTTAAAATGTTGTCTCATATGCGCGTACCAGTCCTCCGGCACCATCGGCTTGACCCAATTCTGGTCATACTCCCAGCAAATCCAGCACCCGAGTAATTCCCCATGTAGTCCACCTAACATTGGTTCTTTCGACGCAACATGCGACTCCCATCGGAAGTTCACAGATGGATCCACCCACTCTGGCCAGTTCTTCCTGTATGAGGTAGGTATTTCGTCACCGCAGAGGTAAGAGCACGATTTGCAGGGGGAGAAGTATTGTCGTGCTATCATCCCGCCGCCGGGAACGCTGTTCGCTTGCCGTTCGTGGAAGGCGAATTCGCAGAAGCCGGGGTTGTCGTTGAGGGGGGTTTCAGTCTTGTACGGTGGTGGAGGGTCTTCGGTAGTTGTCGGAATGGAGGTAAGGTCTACTTCCATCATCTTGGTCGACATGTTCATGGCACCGCTAAGGAAAGCCTTAGGAGGTATAGACAAAGTCGTCATTCGAGCAGACGGAGGTCGTGGAGCCGTGGAGTCGTGAAGCTAAAGGGACAGTGGAAGTTTATGTGCCAGGAAATGCAAGGGAACAAGAATTGCAAAACACGGAAGGGTTCGCAGAGGAAATGCGAAATAACAGATGCTTCAGATGATGACTGAAAGAGATTATGGGTGGATATATGAGAGGACTTAACTTTATGGATTCCATAATTGGTGGCAGGTTCTACGTTGCGGAAGGTTGAAGGCTGGAGAAGAAATCGAGGAGGTTGGAGAAAGCGGATCTTGGCAAAAGTCACGTGCGGGCACAATTTCATGACCCACCTCATTCCAATTTCAACTTCCCACCATCCTCGAAATATATTTCATCGAACTTCACAGAACAACTGGACTGTCCGGAGCCCTTCTGAGCGGCCTCTCGCAAGCTCACTACTCATTTATCGACTGTCACCAAGGCGGTGCGAAGTAATGGACGAACCTTTGAAGTCTCGCTCTGGTCGAAGGGTCCATTGTCGCAATTTCAATTTTCGTTTTCATACTATGGAGCAGCATATTTCCCATCAAGGTTCTCACAGTAGCATACTGCCTTGAAAATTAACCGTGAACATGCAAGTGAATTTTAATTAACCAACAGCGAAAGGAACAGACAGTACTGAAAAGCGCAAAGAAATACCCAAATTGGGGAAAGAATGCATTGCAAAGTCGAATTGTTAGCCCATGCCTGGGACACCGAAAGTCCCCAGTACTAGGTAAAATCTGAGGGCCTTCAATGATTCAAGAAGACTTGGTAGGTTGTTCTAAGCCCATCTCCAGCAGCCCTTTCACACAGCTCACCAATTTATTCCACGAGAACACAATCTACAAACCCTTTCAGTCAACCAGTATCACTTCCTGACGAAACTTCATGCTCTTCTCCGCCACCGCCGTCCCGTCGCTTGGCTCTTCTCTCCCATCTCGCTTTTCTCCGCTCCTCCCTTCGCTGACTTCGGCTTCGACTTCTGTCCCTTCCTACGCCCACTGGCGCCGCCAGACCTCCAGCAGAGCCAACCCCATCCGCTGGTAGCCCATCCCTATACCTCAAAGCTTGCTCTCTGTAGTATTGGTGTCTCTGTTCCTGCTGGATCCGCTGCATCACCAAGTTTGCGCCGACCTGTCCTTCCCACATGCCCGTGCCTACACCCTCGCCAGTCGCCCAGCCCGCTGCACCGCCTGCCATCATGCCGATATTATTGGCTTGAGCCATTTGGCCGTGGGCAGCTGGGCCAGTGCCAGGAGCGAATTGAAGAGCGACTTGCTGAGGATGGTTGGGATTCGCGGCGGTTTGAGTCGTGGATTGTTCGGTCTCTGCATAAGGAGGGGATGCTGACTGCTGAGGTGGGGCTTTAGCTTCAGTCTTCTTTACACCAGCATCAACTTCGTGAGCGGCATTACTGTGACTCTTGTGATGGAAGATTGAGGAGAGTGAAGGCATTGCGGATGCTTGATTTTATTAGCCTCCGTTTTGAGTTGACTCGTTGTATGTGATGCGGGGCTTGGAGAGTCCTAGGGCCGCGACTCTGGACTCCTTCCCTGTGGGAAAAAGAAAAGATGCAAGTGGCGGCCAGCTTCGCTACTACCCGCATGTGTATCGAGTGACCTGCATTGCATTCCAAGCCGGTGGCCGAGGACAGAAATCTCCTGTATCTTGCGCTAGATCTCGTCAATCCCTTTCCTTTCATCTCCAGTGCGACCTCTTGTATCATTGCCGGGGCATTTGGGTAATATTGTCAACCTCCAGAATTGTTCGTTGAGGACGAAATAAGCAAGGAACACAATCCTCCACCGTCCAATACCGAGTAAGCGGGTGTGACAATTTGTCTTCCCCGCTTTTTGGTTTCTCAATTGAGGAGCTTAAGCTTGTGGGTTTATTTATAGAAGATCTTCTTCATTCCAGCCTCGCTCATATCCGTCTTGGCATCCAATTACGGCGGTGTAACACTTCCCCACCTGATCCCACCGAGTTGGCCAACGCAGTATTAATTGCCGAGAATGGCAATATGAGAGCTCGTATTTTATGTAGGAAGCCGGATGATAAGATTGCTGCATCACACGCTTGGGAATGGCCAAGTGTTTAAAAACGTTTGGATTTCCCTTAGCTTAAAATGAAAGCTGAGGAGAATTCTTTTAGAGCCTCTTGTTGTTCTTCGGAACAATCTCAACCAATTCAACAATTTAACACTTCGAGTTCTTGATCATGAGATCTCCGACCTTGCTCCTTCTTTGCATTAGATTGGCCCTCACACTCGCCATCCCAAATCCACATCTCAGCACTACCAGTAAGCCACCGAACGAAAGCTTTCTCCATGTCTGACCACCAACTAACCGAAATCAAATTTCAGAACTCTTACCAAGTTCAACACCCACAATTTCCCGCGGTTCTTGCAACCTCTCCTGTATAAAAGGCTCACACCTCTTCCATAATTCCAATGACAGATGCGAGTGTGTCCTCCACGCAACCACCTCCAAAGCCTGCTCTCAGTCCACGTGCACATCTGGCTACCACCCAGTTTGGCGAAAAGACACTTCAACTTGTGCCTGTCTCGAAAACGGAAGCAGTGATGAAGCTCGATGCATCGTTGCGACCGAGTGCCTTGTCGGTTCTGCGCCTGTATGGGATGAAGATTCTCAGACCTGTGGATGTGAGAAGAGTGATCCGTGTGAGGATATCTTGTGCATTGCGGAGCAACATCCTGTTGCTAATGCTCAGACTGGGAAGTGCAACTGCGAATGGATCTATGGGTTTGGTCCTTCCGGTGTGTGGCACCCTACTTTAACTACAGCGAGCTTGCACACGACGCAAAAAGGCTCCAGGACCGACGGTTAGTTTGGGGTGTGAGAATCTGAAGATTTATTGCTTTGGGGGAGATCATTATATGCACTTGGATCCGAGTACGGGGAAGTGCAAGTGCGGTGGAGTTGCGTCGAGTTCGAAGGTTGAATATTTCCCACTGCCTACTCAGATCTATTAAGGGAAAAGAGAAGGGGCGTGTTCGAGGCGAAAATGCGCCGAAAATTACCGCTTCAAGGGCTGAGTTGTACAGCAGCTCTCTTCTTCCCCGTGGTTGCACTGAAATGGAAAAATAACCACGTCGCGTTACGTTGTCACCCCGTATCTTATTACTACCCAATATCTCTATCGATATTTCATCATATTCTTTCACTTTCGTATCGAAAATTGATACACGGTTGCATGTCTTGAATCTCGATCATGTGGGGAGGTTGTACGCAACCACGTGGACCTGACTTCACTCACAAGTCACCTCCCTTCAACTTCCAGGGAGCATCTTCGAAGCAAGTTTGGCTGAGCTCCTGAAGAAACCCTTTGGCCCGAGGTTTACCTCCCAATTTCGCTGTGGAGCTATGTCCGCACCCCTGCAGTGATGCAAGGAGACAGGAAACGCTGATCCGGGAAATTCCCGAGACATATCGCTCAACAAGTGATAAGGGGCATTCGTCCGTCTTATCAGCTTCGTACAATTTCTCCTGCCGGAGGGTTTTCTCCGCGCGTCATCGGTGAACTCGAAATGAAAATATATATATGGATTGCGGCTTACCTTCTGCCAGGTGGGAAACGAGGAGATCAAGAGCTTGTGTCATCCGGACTCCATAACAATCAGACCCGAGCTGGCCAATTTTAGGTGGTCCTCATCAAGGTTCATTCTGCCGAATTTATATATTCAGTGTCAATAGAGCTGTGATCAGAACTATTGCCGTGATGGGCGCCACCGGTAAGCAAATCACAGTTATCATGATTTCAATGGCTTAGACGGTACAGGCCGTCAAGGAAGAGGTGTGGTTGACGCTCTTTGTTCAACAAAGGAGATATAGAGTATCACGTACGACCGTTGACACGCTCCCTCACCAGCAAGCTTGCCCAGCGGTTCTCATATGAATACCCACAGCTTTCACTCATGCAATGGAGAGTAGACGACGCCTTATCCCTCAGGAAATGCTTTGAGGGCTGCTACGGCGCATTCATCGACTCCGGCGTCTTGCTTCCACCAGAGATATCACTCAAAGAATGGACGCGAGTAGAACTTGCTCTCGGGGAACGATGCTGCCAAGCCGTTCAAGTAAAGTCACCCCACACAAATAAAAGCAAAGTCCAAGTTAATAAATGGATAGGAAGCTGGCCTGAAACACGTCATCTACCCAACTTTCCCTTCTGTCTTCAATGCCAGCAACGGTCGCATCAACATCGCTACTTCGAAACTAAACACCAAATCGCCTTGTGGCTGAGAGACTCTCCAGTCCAGAGCACCATCCTCTGTCCCGGTCCGTTCTACACCGATTTCAACGACATGCAATATGCCTCGTGGGACGGCGGCGTCGTGGTATTCAGCACGCCCGCGGCACCTACGAAGCGCATAGTGGTCAGACCCGGGGCACAATATCGGATGGTTTGCTCGGGCAGCATTCGATGTAGGACCTGATTCTATGAAGGATGAGCATGTACCGGTGTCTGGCCCGGTTTTCAGTTATGAAGATTTGGCGAGCAAGTTCAGCGCTGTGACGGGGATTAAAGCTGTGTATTGTGGGAGGGAAACTGCGACAAGACAAAAACCCACATAAAGTATACCAGAGCGCAAAACGTGACTTGACAGCAAAATAATAAATCAAAAGCGTAAATAGTGAAGTATAAATAGTGTATAGTGTGCAAAAGCTCAATTAATTAAATACTCATAAAGGATTATTCTCTAAGTCTATAGAAAAACCAGCTTTCTTATATAATTTCCGCAAGTTACGTATAAAAGGCCGTAATCTTTGCCATATAACCTAAATCTCAAAACCGCCAAAATAATATAATTTTTGACGAGTATGGCCTGCCATACTATATCCGACCCCCTATTTATTTATACTTATTCCCTAAGTACCAAAAATAATAGAAAAATCCTACTCAGAGTCCGAAATAATGAAATATTCAGGATCCTTCTCTATTAGTTAATCTAATTTCTCTTCTATATACCTAAAATAAGACTTATTATCCTTAAATAGTCTTATTTCGTACTTCCGAACTTACTTAAAGGTAATCCGAATCCGCTTAGCTATATTCTTATACTAAATCCAATATAGTTCTCTATATTAATTAGTATCTGCCTTTAACTATTACTTAATTTCCGCCTTTACTATAGGGTATTAAGAAGGCTTATTATAGTAAATTATATTATAAATTATACTAATATATTCTAAATAAATAACTTCTTTAAATTTTGTATTATTTATTATATTCTTGAATTAACCTTTAATAAGAAGGGAAAGCTCTAGATAAGAGGCTTTAATAACTTTATAGGAGACTTTATTTTTGTATATTTCATTCTTAATAGTAATTAGATTTATTAGAACTATAGTAAAAGGCTTATTAAGTAGCAAATTATTATTAAGTTATTCTTTAACTTATATATTATCCGAGAATTAATGCTTTTTTATAATTTCAGACTTATAAATTACCTAGCTAAAGGTATTTATTTATCTAGTTAAATAGATTATATTTAAAGTCTTTTCTTTTATTACCTTTAGTAAATACTTGTTTATTTCCTTAGCTATTTCTGGCTTAAATTTATTAGAAATAGAAAAGTAATTAATATTTTTAAAAAACTTCTTATTAAAAATAATAGCTTTCTTATAGTCTATAAGGAAAATATAGCTAATATTCTAATACTTTTTACTAAAGTAGAATTCGCTACTTAAAGCTTTAGTAGTAGCCAGATCTTTAGTATTACTTTTATACTAATTATAATTAATATTTCTAGAAATAAAGTATTAGGCTAGCTAAAAATAAGTAACTAGATAAATAGAATACTTATTTAATATCTTATAAAATCCGAGCCATATTAATAAATCTACTATTAAGAATTAAGAGGCTAAGGTAAAGTAGTTATTACTAAGATTTCTATATATTAATATATTATTTTTTCGGAAATAAAACTATAATATCTTTATTTCTTTTATTAAAAGCTCTCAAATACTAAGCTTTTTAATTTATTTCAGATAATTCTTTTTATAAATATAGCTATTAGTATCCAGATTAGTAATACTAGACTCAGGAATAGAAACTATAGTATTAAATTAGAGTTATAGATTTGGGCGGAATTAATTAGAAATATAGTACTTATATTTATACTTCTCAATTTCCTAATTCTTAAAAAAGAAATTCCATATTTCCTTATTTATTTAAGTAACGGAAATATATTTCTTATCTTTAGTAATTTTATAGATCTTAGTAACTAGCTTTAGAGTATCTTTAATCTCTTATATATTAATAAAGAGAGTATTAGTAAGTTACTAAGTATATACTATATAGGGAGCTTTAAGAAATTTATTATTAACCCTATAGTATTCTTGCTTATAGATAAGTCTCATAATATTACTATATACTTTTTTAAAAATATACTTATTTTACTAAGTAAGTATTAACTTCTATTTAGATAGTATTTTATAAATATACTAAATGCCTTTATTAAGTTCTCCGGACTTAATATTCTTAATCTTTTACTTTTTAGTTCTAGGTATAATTATAAGAGTTTTTCTAGATAGTATTTTTTCCTTTAAAATAAAGAATTCTTCCTTATTTTTCTTTATTTTACTAATCTTATATTTAGTCTAGTACTTAGATCTCTATTATTTATTAGAAGTTTTAGGCTTAGTTTACTTTTTATTCTTACTAGGTTCTTTTTATCTAGTTATACTAGTTCTACTAGCTTTATTAGTAGTTTTCTTATTAGACTCTATTAAATTAGCTTTATTTTTCTTAGCTAGATCCGGTTAAGTTAAAGCTGAAATTATAATAGGAGCCTATTTTTTAGGCTTATTTTAAAAAGCAGGAAAAGACTTATTACTATAAATTCCCTTAATTAGAATTCCGGAAATATTAAAGATATATTACTTAGTCTTAAAATTATTAGCTAATAATAGCTTAAACTTTAATTCTTTATATTCTAAAATAGCTTTAGTATACTTAAATGCTTTAGTAATATCTAATTTAATAAATATATTAGTATTCTAATACTTCTTATTCTTAATATACTCTAAAGTAGCTTTATTAATTAACTAAATAGCTTTATATACTAAAGCTTTTATTTTAAAGAGAAAATATAACTTCTTATAAATATTATTAATATATTAGCCAAAAGCTTTATTATATAATATAATTCTATTCTAATTCTTAGTATTAATACTATTTACTATAGTCTTAATCTTATTAAGCTTCTCTTATCTGCCTTTAGAAATGCCTTTAATAATATTCTTGAATTCTCTATTATTAGCTTAGTAGTTCTTTAGCTTTTCCTTAGTTAATCCTAGTCTAGTTCCGTTTCTAATAAAGGTTTTCTATTTCAAGAGCTTATTATATATACTACTTAGCTTATTTAGAATATTCGTATTAAATTCGGTAATTATAGCTATTTTTTCTAGTATTAATAAGCCTTTTATAGCTATTTAAACTTCTTTAATACTCTAAACTTTAATATTATTAATCTATAGGCTTTTAATAATATTATAGCTTATAAAAACTAGCTATTATATTTTACTAACTTGAGGAATTTATTTTTTAGCTATTTTATTATTCTTAATAGGTTATAAAAATATTATTAATATAATAGTTATAGGTTATAAAATTAAAGGTTCTCGAGATTACGAGAATTTCTTTTAAATATATTCGAGTTTTTCTTTCTTTCTAATAAGAAAATAAAGTTAAAATAGTAGTATATATAATAGGAAAAGTAAATATAATAATTAGATATATTTAAGGTAATATAATTATAAATTAGAAATAATTATAGAAAATAAAATATAAAGTTAGGCTTTTATTATAAAAAAAACACGAATATATATATTTAAGAAAATATAATTAAGGAAATAATTAAGGCAAATTAAACTAAATAGTAATAATAAGGAAATAAAAAAATAATATAATAGAAATATAAATATAATAGTAGTATTTAAAATATTGAAATATAAAAGAAAATAATATAAAAGAAAGAAAATAATATAGGAAATATATAAAAGATAAGATATATAAGTATATTAAAGATATTAGGAAAATATAAAATAAGTATTAATAGAAAAGAAATTAGAATAATAAGTTTAAAAAATAACTTAGAATAAGATATTACTTCTTCTAAAACTAATTCGTATTTTTTTTTAAAAGCTAATTACATTTATTTAGTACTTATTAAAGTTAATTTTATATAATATAAAACTATTTAGTTAATTAGAACTTTAAAATAATATTTATATTTATAAAAGTAATACTAAAAATATTAGAATATATAGAAAAAAGATTTATAATACTATTATTAAGTTTGAAATAATTAATATTAAAGTTAATATAAAACGTAAAAAGATTAGGTATTCCGAATTAGTATTAAGAATATAGGAATTATTTAAATAATATTTAATAATAAGAAATAGATTAATAATAAGAATTAGTAAATTATATTAGCTTTTTAAAAAAAATAACTAGTTTCTAGTAATGAAATAGTATTATAGTTAGAGAAAGAGTTTTATATAAAAGAAGTTCTTTATAAAAATAAAAATATATAATATACTAACTAAGCCTTAGTATGAGTTTTAAGAGTAGCTATAGTTATATTAAAGAGGAAGTGGGTTTTCTAGTATAAGGTAGGCTTTAAATAGGCAAATCTAGTTTATTTAATATTTAAGAGATTTCTAGAATTATATATTATTAAGTATTTTCGGAAATAACTATTAGGTTTAATAAGGTTTCTCTTTTATCTTATAAGGCTTCTAGTTTAGCTATTTTATTTATATATAACTTCTAATTAGGAAATTTATTTAGATATTATAAGAAAACTTATAATAGTAATTTAAGTTAAAGTCGAGATTTATAGATATTATAGTTAAGCTTTAGACCAGTATAAGCCGCGAGAATAGCTAGTTAAAAAGGCAAATAGAGCTTCTAAAAGATTTCTAGTTTAGTAAAACATATATAAAAGGCCTCTTTCTTTCTTTTTTTCTTTTTTTATTTCTAAATATAATTATTATCTATTACTATAGTTTGGAATTAAGAGTTTATAAAATGATTTCTTAATTCTCTCTATTTATTTCTATACTAAAAGAAATACTTTATATTTAATTTCCAAGATCTAGTAATAGAATTTCATATATTAAGAATATTATCTAGTAATAATAATTAGATAATAATAAAGCTTATTTGGTTTCTAGAATAATAATTTAATAATAATATTTTCCAAAGATTATAAATAATAATTAGAAGAAAAAAATAAAAGATATATAAAGAATTAAAAGTAATAAACTTTATTTCAGATTAAGAAGAATTCCTATTATTAAATGCCTTTTTCTAGTTTTCTATAAAAAAGATATATTTTATTTTTTCTAATTCTAATAACTCTAGAATATATATAATAATACTAATAGCTTTCTCGATTTCCTAAGTACTATTTTATTTATAATATTTTATAATTACTTTCTTTTCTAGTTCTATATTTATTTATAAATATATATTTATTATTAACTTCGTTTTTAGGGAAATACTAGAATTTATTTATTTTAATAAACTACTTAAGTTAATTCCTGGTATATATTCTTTAAAGTATAGTATTATTAAGTTCTTCTAATATATAATATTTTTTTAGTTAATCTATATACCTTATTTTATATAGGCTAAGCTAGTAATATAATAGCTTTATATTCCTCAATTTATTTTAAT